TTCCTGCTACACCCACCACATGAGACATAGGACCAACCATTTTTTTGCAGCACGACAACGACACAGGCTTTGCAGAGGAAATCAGCTTCTTGTGTCTGTTTGGACATAGGAAATTGATCTTAGGAGTATATTTATTTCTTTAAAGCAGATGGAATGTGGCGAAAAGAGCATGATACATGTTCATTCGTTTGAGAGAGGTAGGTGTACAGTTCTTCAATTGTAACCACCTCTTTCTTCTGAACTCCAGCCTTTGTTTCAGCTCTTGCAAATGGTTTGATGGCATCAATTCCCAAGTTGTATGGAGGAAAGATTAGTGACATGTGGTGTCCAGTAGTTGTGGTGATTTGATGTACTATTATGTAAGTAGCTTTACCTTTTCGTGAACTATGCAATAGCATGAATCGTAGTGTCGAAGAAGAATCTGGTGGCAGGTGTGGAGTTAAGGTATAGGTTACCTGGTGAGTTGGGGGGAAAAAACCAGAGGTAGGTATGGGGGAAAAAAACAGAGGTTAGTATTATCTTTGGAAGTGTAGTTTTCATGTTTGTTAAAGACCCTTGAAGATTAGGCCTAAAGACGACATACCTCCAAACAGCTTTGGGTTAACTGTGGTGACAATCATCACTATAAAGTGTTGGAAGTGTTGATCTGCTARCAAGTGAGGTCAATTTATAGTTTTTTTTAGTGTGCATGCTGAAACGGCCGGATGAACAAGGAAGGTGTGGACGGCGGATCCTACACAGTTGAATTTGTCAAGGGTTGAAAGGAAAATTGAGTCTTCTGAGTATGAATTACAAAGCAAAAGTTGAAGATATGTGTTATTGCTGTTTATGTCAAGCTCTGGTTACAAATGAATCGATCCCCTTTTTGGGAGATGATAATGAACTATATATAGTACTTCTAAGTAAAATGGGCCAGCTAATAAATGGGTTTGGCCTATTAAGCAATATATTAAAATTAGGCCCATTACTCCATTAAGCCCATTTTTGTTAATGGGTTTAATGTCATTTTGGGCCTAGATTCAGACTAGGCCTTTGTAGACTTGCTCCGATTTCGTTAGGATGCTGTCCAGTTGATCTTGTCGTTATATCGATCTCATAGGGGTGAAATCCGACCCCTACAGAAGGTTGAAGGTATTGGGGAGGAACTTGGAAAACGGCGGTTACTTTTGAGTATTGAAACATGAGTATTCAAGGGAGTGGAGTGGTAGGGAGAGCTTTGAATTATCTGGATAGCTTCAATGGAGAGAAAAGAGCCTCATTATATATAGATAGATTACATTTTATCTTCAGCTAGTTAATATTTCTTACAGACAAATATTCTATGAGTTTAAGTCATTATCATCTAGTTCATGACATTTGAAATGGAGACATATTTGTATGATTACGGTTTTTATTACTGTGTGAAATATGTCAAAAGTGTTTCTTTAAAAATATGTTGTGCTAAGATAATTTCTCTCTTTCTCGACCAAAAAAAGAAGATAATTTAAGCAAGGTAATGGTTTGCTAAAAAAGTGTTTCTTTAAAAATAATATTCGAAATTGATACTAAATCCATTTGTTATCAAAACTATTTTTTTTTGGTTGATGGTTAACCAGTGTTTATTTAATATTTTACGGCATGTTTAGAGTTTGATTCTAAGCAAATCCAAACTAATTTAGAAGCAAATTTATATCTGACATTTCTAGTGTGGTACAAATAGAATTGTTTGTTGTGGTTTCAATCGACCATGTATTTAGATTCACTTGTTTCAAATGAAGTCACAAATTATAATTTTCCAAACGGTATAAAAGACAGAAGAGGAGAAGAAAAATATCGATATCATTTCGTTTCATTTTCGATGTCTTCGTTGATGTAGTTAGACTTTCATTTGATAAATGGTACTCAGAAATCAGATTACGCATATCGCATCATAAACCTTAATGATTACCCCGTAGAAACAGATAACTATTGTTCAAAACTGAAATACCAACACAAGAAGGGGGAACATGTTCAACTCTGACGGAAATTCCATAACATGTCCAATAGTCAAAGCATTTCAAGTCCGGTACTACCAGAGACACTATAGCAATTTGACAGAAAATAAGGACTGGATTTAGTCGTCTGAGTAATTGAGAGCGAGATCCCAGTAGTGACCAACACCAGCATCCGTGAAAACTTTCTTTGCAGCAGAATCGGTCAAGCAATCATGTACATAAAACCTATAGAAACTCGGTTTCGCAACGATTCCTTGCCAAACCAACCAGCACTTGTTTCTGC